CTCTTTCATCAAATCTGCCACTGTTTGCAGACTACAAGCTGGAGGTTTCCGTGTTGCTATTTTCCCAGTTGGTGATTCCGTGATCCATTTGTCCCTCCATATGTTGATAGTAGTCCCATCTCCCACTCTTTTCCATATTCCCTTTTGCAGCACCGAGCTAGAACTGTATATACTTCTCCATACCCAAGATGCATTCTTTGGAGCTTCCCCTTCCCAGCCTGTTTGTGATATTTTGTACTTCGCTCCCAACACCCTACTCACTAATAGGTCTGGCTGCATTAGTATCCTCCATAGCTGCTTTGCTAATAGAGCACTGTTAAAGTGCTCTAGGTCCCTAAATCCCAGGCCTCCATTTCCCTTTACCTGTGTGATTTTCTTCCAACTTATCCATTGCATCTTCCTTTCCTCTTCATTTTGGCCTCTCCAGAATTTTGCCATGTGGCCACATATTTCTGCACACAGTCCTTTAGGCAACCTGCAGCATGACATTGTGTAAGTGGGTAATGCCATAATAACCGACTTGAGGAGTACCTCTTTTCCTGCATAGCTGAGTAGATTGTGCTTCCATCCTTGCATTTTGGATCTTGCTTTATCAACAATGTAGGCGAAGACTTGCTTCTTTGATCCTGTTATCACTAGGAGGAGTCCCAAGTATTTGCCACTGTTTGCCTCTTTGATGTTGTTCATCTGCTCACAGCTCTGCCTCCTTTGTATAGCAGCAGATTTGTCATAGTTGACGCACTATCCTGAGGCTATTTCATACTTTGCAAGAATCCTTTGCATGGCTCTAGCTTCCTGTGGGTGTGCTTTACAGCAATTAAGGAGTCGTCTGCAAAGAATAAATGGGATAAAACAGGTCCATTCCTACTCACTTTGAGACCTGTGATCTGCCTATCTTCAATTGCCTTTGCCATGAGATTGGATAATCCTTCCGAACAGAACAAAAAAAGATAAGGGGACAAGGGATCTCCCTGTCTAATACCTCTACTAGGCTTCACATACCCTACCCTCTCCCCATTAAAATTGAAAGAATAGGTCATTGACAACATGCAGTTCATAATCCATCTTACAAATATAGGACAAAAATCCATTTTTAGCATCATTCTGCCCACAAATTTCCATTCCACTCGGTCATAAGCCTTTGACATGTCAAGTTTGAGGGTCATAAAAGCAGTATTACTCGTCCTTTTGCTTTTTAAAAAATGCATGATTTCATGGGCCAAAATGATATTATCCACAATCTATCTACCAGGTACGAAAGCTGACTGAGAATAGCTAATACATAAGGCGATAACTTTTTTCAGTCTATTGGCCAAAATTTTTGCTATGATTCTATAGAGCACATTACTAAGACTGATTGGCCTATAGTTTGGTAGAGATATAGCATTATCTACCTTAGGAATGAGGGTTATACTAGTCTCATTTATGCTCTTCAAAAGATGGCCATTACTCAAAAAGTTTTGAATAGCGGACACCACATCAGTTTTAATAGTATGCCAATATCTTTGAAAAAATAAGGGTGTCATACCATCAGGTCCAGGTGCTTTATTTGGGTGCATGGAGAACACAGCTGCTCTAACCTCATTTTCGTCCACAGGTTGTATCAAATTCTGATTTAGCCTGCTTGTAATTGATACAGGCACCCCTTCTAGCACTTCTTCCATATTTTGTGGCTGAGATGTGGTGTACATGTCTTCATAGTACCTGTAAATCTCCTGGATGATTTGTTGGTTATCAGTACACCATTCGCCATTTCCTTTCTGCAAGCTGGTTATTTTATTTCTTTTCCTTCTTGTCTTCACGCAAGCATGAAAGTAAGCTGTATTCTTGTCTTCTTCCTTGAGCCATCTGCTCCTTGCCTTTTGTGCCTAGAAGATTTCCTCAGCTTTGTAAGCACTGGGCGACCAAGTTCCTGGGCAAGCTCAAATGAGTTTGAGCAAGTTGTTCTTTATATGGTCAATTAAGGGTCCAGCTAGACCTAGTGGCTGTCCAGATCGTGTAGTTCATTCCTGGGTCGGATCGGGTTTAATAAGGGCACTCCATGTTACTCCTTTTTTGAGAGAGAGTGAGCAATTGAGATGAGCAAATCCTCTAATGGAAAGATCAAGACATCGTGCTACAGTGCAGGTCTGTGACTATGTGAAAAAAAAAAAAAAGTCATTAATATAGCAACCATTGAAAGTGATGAAAATGATTGAAAATTTCAATAGTATTTTTTGTATTTTTTAATCATTTGTTTAATTTGTTTAAGTGTAAGTAAAAGGGATTGAACTAAGACTTCTCACTTACATTTCCTCCCTCGAAACATCCAACCTATCACTCTCCCACCTTTTTAGGTACTTTACCTATGATTATAATCTAATTGTCTCTTAACTCTTGCCACATTATTCAATGATTAAACTTTTAATGTCATCCAAAGGGTGACAAATTCCTTTTATATATCTAACAGCGAAATTAAACTTACGGTTATAACATCCAAAAGGAACTATAAAACTCCTCGAAAATACTATAATGTAGTTACTAAATCCAACCTGATAAGGAACCCGGTAAAGGGATTGGGTCACTGGGTCACTGATTCAATCGGTGGATCATTCATTGAACTTGTAAGTATTGATTTAATATTTATAAATATAAAATAGTAATTTTAATACACGTGAAATATCTAATAAAGCGCTTTTAGATACTAATTATTGAATTTAAAAAAAAAGAATAATGAATATATAGATATTAATAGAGGATTTAATTTCATTTTACCATACTTTTACATAAATAAATAATATAGTCAAATATAAAACAAAATTGTATCACTTGTTTTAAAAAAGGGAAAAATGCATTTTTCATCCCTAATGTTTAAGGTGTTAACAAATTTCGTCCCTAAAGTTTCATGCAAAACATATTTCATCCTTGTAATTTTATAATTTTGACTAATTTCATCCTTAAAATTTCACACAAACACATTTCATCCTCATAGTTTAATAGATTTGGCTAATTGAGGACAATTGATGGATTGTCAAGGATTTTAAATAGAATATAGTCACTTGAACATAGCATGCCCATTAGTAAAAAAAAAAAAAAACACTGGATCAACAAAGAGTTTAAAAATCTTTTCTTAATTCACTTTCTCGTTTTAGTACCAAAAAAACCTAAGAAATTTTTAGCCAGCATTATTTTCTTCTTAATCACAATCGAACAAGAAGATCTAAAGAAAAAGAAGTGGAAAACAAACAACCTCACTGTAGCCAATTGGAAAAAAATGTCGAACAATCCCATTACAACTAATTGGAAAAAATATTAATGTGAAAGAAATAATGGTTAGGATTGTCATTTATTTGCAAAATTTTGTTTTATTGCTATGTATTTTGCACCAACAGTTGCATCATGTACACATTTTTCAATCATCTATTTATCTTTCAATCTATTTGTTTTATCTCAAATACATCATATCATAATTTTAAAAAACAAAGAGATAATCTCCTATAAAAAACACTTGTTATTTTTATAATTTAATCAATAACTGAATTAAGTATGAATAATACAATTACTAATGGGACATGTGATCATATTATGTACAAATTGGTTAACAATCATTTAATTGTCCTCAATTGATAGAAATTATGAAATTATGAGGATGAAATGTGTTTTACATAAAGTTTAGGGACAAAATTGGTCAAAATTATAAAACTATGAGGATGAAATATATTTGGAATGAAACTTTAGGGATGAAATTGGTTAACACCTTAAATATTGAGGATGAAAAGTGCATTTTTTCCTATTAAAAAATATAACATTATTTTTTCATTAGTTTATTTTTGTTTAAAAATAAAGCAATTTTTTAACTATTCAAATATTGTCATTTTGAAAGTTAAAAGGATTAATTGAATAATTAAAAAGGTAAGAAAATGTATTTAAAAAACATTTAGTTATCAAATAAATCTAAGGAAGTGGTAAAGTCTTATGTACATTTAAATGATGATCCAATATTCAAATCTTATCAAAAGCATATATACACTTTGTTTCAAAAACAAAGACCCACAATTGTGGAGAGAGAGAGAGAGAGTCAATTGGAAAATCGAACGATTCCTAGTTTAACTATCGGGTTAAATAGGTTTGTTTGGATTTGATCGGATTAATTCCTTATTTGATCAAACTAGAGACCTAGTCCAGTCTGATGCCCAAGTCACTAGGTCAAGTCGGGTTTAATAACTTATGGTGTATTATGTAATTTCCCGTCCATTCTACCCGTTAAAAAATCACATTCGTGTTGCATCAATAAATTTCCAGCTAGAAGCCAGATTAAACATACCGAACATGAATACATGAGATAAAGGATAAGCCATGAAGAATGATTCCTAAGTGTTAATGGTAAGTTGCAAGCATCTTGTGCTGTAAAATATTTTGATAGACAATCATCCATACGAAATTTAACGCTTTTTGAATTTCAGAAGAAGTCAAACAGTCTGATTGCTTAAAAGCTATACTGTGCTTGAGCGAAAGGCTGATACGTACTACGTAGTGCATGTACTTGAGCTAAGTATAGAAAAGAAATATAGGATAAGCAGCAAAAAATGACGAATCCGAAGCACTAAGGGCCCGTTTGGTTGGACTGAAATTCTTTTCCCCCTCTTTAGATTGTAGCTGGGGCCCCAAATGTAATAGTTTAAGTCTCTATTTGCTTTATTTGTTTTGTGTTTTGCATTCCTCAAAAATCACTTCCTTCCCCATAATTTTCCGGTATTTGATTATTAAGTGAAAATATTTTTCAAATTCCTTTTTCATAATTTTCCAGTGTTTGGTTTGTCAATAAAAATATTTTCTAATTTGTTTGTTGATATGTTACAAATATTTTTCTACTCTCAAAACATTTATTTCATTACAAGTTAATTTTAGTTTCTATCCATTATAATCATATTATCATTTCTATAAAATATTTATTTATATTACACCATGAATTCTTAAATGGAATTATTAATGATACTAATGAATTGGCTGGGAAAGAAGAGTTAAAAATCAAAAGAAAACTAGCTGTATTATATAACCTGCATCATAAGATAATTAGCAATTCTAGCATCCATAATAAGTCTCACAATCATAATACAATTCCAAGAATCCAACCAAATTTGATAATTAGACAATGAAACATCAGCCTTGCATATTTGATTACAAGAGAAAGGGACTAAACTACCCAACTAATTACTCAAACTAAAGTTCACACACATGCAATCTCTTTCCTGGCTCTAACAAGGCCAAACACGATGATAGTCATCTTCATATATACAGCATCACCCTCTGCAAAATGTAAAACACAGACGGGTAAGTGACTTTTCATGCAGTAAGTAGTCTTGATAGGAGCTATGCTTTATGCAATCTCTTGCAGATGTTGCAAAATGAATAATCTACTGTACTCCCAAGTGACAATCTTGGGATCAACACTTATCTTTAGCTTCAGCAAGGAATACTGATAAAATAAGGTTTTTATCAATCTTCGTGGAAGATGATTACTTGGGCTACACATAATACCGAAATAGGAACAATGGAAGTGAAATCCAGTGGAATTATTGATTCAGAACTTTAAGTGCAATTACAGGTTGTCTGTAATATACCATTTGCAATAACAGTAATTCTAGAAAAAAAGACTTCTTCCCAAACTCCACATGTTTGAACCCAGGATCATATATATCACCACCATCACTGCTTTCTGAGTGCTAGTTCCAATTGGCTCAGCCTCACGAAGACAAATCCAAGTAGCTTTATGCCTTTAACTATCAACTAATGAAATGATGGTGGAAAGAGAGAATGCAAAATTGGCAGACGCTGTACTGTCAGTAGAAGAATGTTCAGCAATCATGATTGAGAAAACCTCAGCCATCTAAACTTCCCTTGAAGGTAACGACTTTACAAAAGGATAAGGACTTTACATACTGGATGAGTTTCAAGACTATGACAAAATCTGATGAAAATAATCCTAATAATGCTGGACTTGCTTCTTCAACTCTACATAGCATTGAAACTTGGAACTAGATTCACCGACCACATCAGACAGGTGCATGTATACACTCAGACAACCACAAAATTTCAGGACAAATCTACAGAGAGTTTATTCAATTTATGCACGGAATGACATGGAAAACAGACTGGAGAAACAAGGTGGCGATTGTTTACAATTATTGATGGGTTAGTCTGACAGATGCCTACCTATTTGAAGTCTAAAATGATGTTGTCAGCAAACAGTGTACTCATTGCTTCTCTTTTTTCATATCTTCTTTTTCATAAAGCATAGCTCCTATCAAACACAATTTGTGGTCTTACAAACTGTCATAATGGATTTAAGCAGCTAATAGTTGAGTCGTGGAAGACAATGGAATCTTTTTTATAAAAAGTTTACTGCTCTCTGGGATGAGCACAAGCAAACTGTTTTCCTCCCTAATCAGATTTTGTCAACTATTTACAAATGGTCTCACCAGATTGTAAGAAAAACACTACCAGCAGTCGAAGAATAAAGTCTCAAAAAACCAGACAAGAATTCACAAGAGAAGAATAGACAAATGAAATTATACAGAGAAGGCTGCACTTCAAGCTCGCCCAAAAGGAATCCAAGACAGAATTCCTCCATATCCCAATCAGCAACATGAAACACAATCATCACTGGGGCAAATGGGAAGTAAATAATGGCACTTGTTATCAGCGGGTGTTTACCCAAAAGCAGCAAACTCAAGCTAGTTATTGAAATCAATCTAATTCCAACATCAAAAGGGGTACAGGAACTTCAACCAAAAAAGAAAAAGTATCCAATTGTCTTCTAGTGGTACCCCAGCGAAATCTTGTCACAAATGGTCTCACCAGATTGTAAGAAAAACACTACCCTACCCTACCCGGATTCTGATTCCAAGAATCATAAAACCCCCAAAACTCAGCAGCCAAATTAATTCATTAGCATCAATCAAATCAGATTTAACCCTAATCAGGTAAGAACAAACTAAAACAAAAGCAACCCACAAAATGTCATTCAAATCCAACTTCGAAAGGAAACAGACGAAATTTGTGTGCAATTGTATATACAGACACAGTGAAGGTGTTTGTGCGTGAAGACGAGAAACTGAAAGTTAAAAAAAACCTGCCGAATGAAAATGACTTGTGAGTGTATAGATTATGTGGTGGTAGCCGCTGAGATAGTGTCGCCGGAGGAGGTGATCGCCACCGAGGACTGACGCCGGAGGAAGCGGGAATGGGGGTTCTTCGGGAATGAAAGGAAAAAAAATGAGAGAGAGAGAGAGAGAGAGAGAGAGAGAGAGAGATGCCGGAGTAGTTTACCTGATGAGATGCTGGGAATGAAAGGTATTTTCCCTCGGATTGGTTTGCTGATGTCAAAAATCCTTGCGAGGCTGTGAAAAGAAGGCTGAGGAAAATAACTTCACAGTGATAAATAAGGAAATTATATTCCTCCCATGAATGTAATTTATTTTCTGCCAGAGATTATTTTCTTAAATTAATTGACAATCAAACAACGAAAAATATGAAAAATGTTTTCCAGAAAACCTTTTCCACCCAAACAAACAGACCCTAAGTTGACAAAATTTATCTTGCCTTAAGAAAAAGGAGAAACTTTAAGACATTTCAGTTGTTGACTTGTAAAAATATCCCAAAATTTCTTTCGTTAACATAGTCTTAAACAATCTCAATTCTTGAACACTAAAAGTTTGGAAGAAGTAAACTTATCATTTTATTTGACCACCCAAGGAAAGATTTATATTAAAACCAATGATCTTGAGCATTATGAGCATCCTTCCTAGAAGCCAAAAAAAAAAAAATCAATCCCCATCTATTTTTTTTTTTTAAAAAATATTTTCATGTAATTGTTCAGTCAACAAACGTAAGTATGAGCTTCAGTAAATTTTCTTTTAAAATAATTATGCATATGATTGTAGAACTGCAACTTAACACACATGCTGAATAATATAATACAGGATTTGGGCCTTTGCACGAGTACTAAAATGTTAGTAATACTACATTTTAAGTGTTCCTAGCCAGATAAGATCTCATTGTGACCATGCCCATTTCAGCAAGTCAAAGGGATAACAGAGGCACAATAAAGATTAGATTACAATATTAATTTCAAGTGATACTAATGACCCTTTAAAAGAGTAATCCTAAAATAAAAGGTACTTCCAATGATCTTTTTTCCTAGATATATTCCTTATTTCACTTGAGTTGAGGTGAGAGAATTTAGAATTTCAAAAAGAATTGGGATCCAAAAAAAAAAAAAGAGCAAAAGGAATATCTACAATCTCTATGACCATGACTAGTTATTGTGAAAGCAATCCCCACTTATGTGAAACAATTCCCTCCTGACGGAGAAACATACAGAATACAATTGACACTGAAATATTGCAAATCCAACTCATCATTTAGATCATATTGCAGACAAGTTATTGTGGAGGGGAAACTGCAGAGTAAGTGTCAAAATCATTCTAGCAAGCAGTCCCAGTGTATAATCCAACAAAGTCCCAACTCCAAATAGATTTTTCAAATCTACGAAATATACTCAGGCAGAGTATGTAGCACAGAGTTGAGTGATCTGAAGCATAATTTAAACTGAAGCAGATGATAAACTGATAAATATATGATATGTACAAGAGGCCATGTGAAATCTCTTCAGAGCCTATATCTAAAGATCAGTTAAACAAGGAATGAGACAGCTGTAGACCAGAGTTCCTTAGAATTTGAGCAAATTGTGACAACTTCGTATCCAATTAAAAAATGATCAATCACAAAGTACAAAAAGCTTTGAACTCTTACACCACTCAGTGTTGGCGCAGCTGCCCTCATGACATCATCTTCCATCATCTTCCGTTCAGATAAGAAGATTCACACCCTATAGGGAGTCTTCTGATGGATTGGTAGGAAAGTTACCACTCAAGCATTTCAGATGTGCCAACTTAGAACCCTTCAGACAAATGCTTCTCAATTCGATCGGGCTATATTTCTTTGAAAGGGCTGACAAGCCTCATTTGCAGCATTTGTCATCTAAATGGAGACAAACAAGGCGATAAGGCATTTTGATCATCACTAGGTTAAGAGCAATAATAATTACACTCCAAAAATTGAAAGCAGCTGATTCAGAAGTATATGCATGATTATAAGAGTAAGGACATATGATGACTTAAAAATCCAACCAGGAGTTTTCCCATGTATTGGCTTATCCATCTGTCTGTTCATTACCTTGTAATTTACCTTGTAAACAATGGGATTCACAATTTCATACAAGTTTAAAATAAATGGCAATCATGAAGACCTCTTTGATTCTATTGATTATGAAAATTTGATGGAATCATGAATAAATCAGAAGTGGCGGTGAAAATCAAATAAATTTTCTTGAATCAATATAACTTCATCACAAAGAGAAGTACCTCATGAGTGAAAATCCCTGCAGCCAGCTAGAATCATCTTTCATGCAGCTTCTGCAAGAGCTCTAAGCCTCAAGAAACTCTATCTGTCCTCCTCATACATTTTCCAGGGACTCACCAATGTGAATGTAGACTCTCAAACTAGACTTAGGATTGCCTTTGACCATATGAAGAAATGACATCAGACAATGAGTTGCACAATGAGAATAAACCGATGCAGAAAGCATTGCACTCACACAGACTTGTACCTTAACCTTCTCATTTTGGAATTAAAGTGCAAGAGTCATCCTTTTGAGAGAGCCCAGACAGATCCCCCCAAGTAAAAAAGTTTTCCTACTTTTTCTAGTCCAGCTGCAAATGATGACTTGAACTGGGCCAATTTAAGACCTAAATCTTGGGATCCATATCCTCATTGCATAATCTTAGATAATATAGCAAAGGTTCCTCAAAAGATGCCTTGCCTTAGCTATTCACAGTGTGTCTTGTGAGCAAAAAACAGTGGGCTACCATCAGGCCTTAGTCAACAGCATTTCCAATTCCACGTTACTGATTTTATGCCAAGCCTTGCTGAGTCCAAAGCACAGCAAATATGAATAATGTACAGCATAAAAAGAGTTAGTAAAATTCAATTCTTAGAAGATAATAACATCAATCAATGCTTGATTTTTAAAGGAATGAAATGGTAGAATTAGTTCTTGAGAAGTTAATACTAACATAAGAGTGCAAGTAGCTTAGGTGGAACCCAGCATCTCAAGTTACTGCCACTGGAAAACCTTTTGCACCTGCAATATAGCCCAAGTCAAATTTCATTCAAGGGATCGAGCCATCTTAAACGATGTATCTAGACTTTCGATCTTGTTCAGATCCCTCAAATATTATAAGAAAACTGGTTTCAATAGGAATAGTCCTTACATTCTTTTTTTTTTTTTTTTACTTGTTTGTTGTTTTTCTAATTTTAGTTTGTTTGCAAGTACCATCAAGGTATTTGACTTGCCCATTTAAAGGACTTGAGGATTTTTGCAGAGTTCGAAAAAAAACTCCAAGAAATTTGCATGGACAGTCCTTTTCACTAGGAGATTGCCATCCACATGAACTGTATTGCCAATGGGGTAGATCCTTCCCCTCAAAAATTCAGTACCTGATTGAAAGATATGTATTACATATTCATTTATAGTTTTAGCGTCAAACATTACCTCTCCTACATCAAAAAATTTGGCCTTCTCCAGGTAGAGTCCATTACCCTGATTTGTTTTAAAGACACAAAATAAGAAATATCTTAAGATAGACTCGAGAAATTTATGCAACCTTGAGATACTAACCATGTAATCTAGCTTTTACATCAACCTCGTAATAGCCCGAAGCTTGGGAGAATAGCTTATGCGTAGAGACTTCATCAGATCTATAGCACTAGAGCAACTGTCTGACAAACCACAGTTGCATTAGGGAATTAACAGCATAAAAGAATGTAATCTCGTAGCTAGTAACATAGTTCAACAGACAAGTATAGCCCAGTAGGGGATAAAAACTAACTCCAAAACTAAGGCATGCACAACCTCAAAGTATTATGGTTTGCTAACTATAGAAAAACAAGTAATATCAGCATTCAGCTGCAAGAAGGAAGATATGAAACTTCATCGTTCAATCACTGCATACCCAGTAAAATTAAAATACCAGATTGCCTGTTATTTCACCTGGAAGTTCCATTTGGAAGATATATGAAGAAATTGCTTTAGGGCACTACTTGACTGTTCAACCATAAGACAAGCTTGACTATTTGTTGATAATTCTTGATATTTAAGGCACTAATAAGTGAAAAAGTTTTGAATGAATGGCAACTTTACGGGTGATTTCCCTGTCTATTTTCCACTTTACAGAATACTACAGGGGGTTAAGTGAATAATATTAAACAATAGGAGCATTATGGTGCGGTCAAATGCAAAACCATGGGTAATAGTAATTTCCCTTAGAATATTGAAAGACAAGCCAAGATAGTCTTGATTGCTAACAAGTTCTAGTACTTTGTTTTAGCTAAAAGCGATTTACTTGCCTAGAAGTTTCGCTCCTGGATACAATCCAGAACTGAATTTAAAATTTAAAAAAAAAAAAATCAGAGTAGGACAAACAAAAGTCCAGAACTGAATTTAAAGATGTCCTGGATATAAACCAGGACTGGATATGCAATATATCTACTAAGTGCATAAGCAGGGAAGAAAGAAAACAAGATGAGCAAAATTGAAGAAACTTCATGTTGCTCAGAAAAATTGAACTTTCAAAAATTTCAGCTGCAATTCACAACATAGCCATAATTTATAAATCACATCATTATTTAAGTGATGAAAAAGGAAACACGAAAACGTATCCTGCAAAAAATACATCTGATCTCCCAAAATCTCAGTTCTTGGGCAGCCACAAGTAAACGTAGGAGGGAAAAGAGTTATTTGGCAGAGCAGGACACCATGTAAAGTCCACAAATGAATAGTCATCCGGAAAAATAAAATATTAATCTCTCTCTCACACATACAATTGTTTAGCAGCAAGCAAGATCTTTTGCAGCAATTGTTTAGCAGAAAGAGTTTGAGGAGGAAATGGTGAAAGAAACTTATATAAATAGAGAAATTCAGAGGATCTTTAACTGGGAAATTTACATTATCATGAACTTTACATAGAGACTCCTTCAATTTGCTAGTGATTTCAGGAATATGGGAGATCTTGGACCACTCAGAATTGGGGTCGTTGCTGCTGCAGCTGCTCTCTGGATTGCATCTTTCCTGTAGAAGGTGACAACCTTCAATCCGCAGCCATCTTTGTTTGGTGAGGCTTCTCATTGATTGGTTGGAAGGTAAACTCTCTAGCCTTTCACAATAGTCGAGCCCGACTTGTACAAGTCACGAAAGCTTCCCAAACCAATCAGGCAATGATTTTACTGCAAAAACTTCTAAATCAAGAATTTCAAAGGAGGATATGTGCTGAAGTTTTCATACAAACTTAAATGCCAAAGGGAGGGCAAGTGGTGGTGTGGTCGGCTAGGAACGAATGCAGATCCATGATTTCTGAGAAGGGTCCAATTTCCAACCCTCTTAACCTTGTAAGAGAACCAAGATTCCCTCTGGGGGAAATTAATTCATTTGTCACATTGACGTATGTGTTGGAGAAATATGGGAATTACAAGTGTATGAACCTACTGCAAAGTTATTACAAGAATAATATCAACAACTTGACTAAACTAATTTTTGGGAAGTTCAAGAGAATTTTCAAGTCTTGCTAATCGGGTTGATATGGTAAATTACCTCTAAGATACAATGGAAACGAAAACTAGCCTATAGCAAGTTTAAGTTTAGTTTTCACAAGAGAAGGATGTAAGAAGTTGGTTTTGCAAATCTAAAATAACTTAAGCACAAGTTGCCACAAGAGAGGTTAAACTACCTCTATTTATAGGCAATACAAGAGTTAAAGTACATGAATCTCATTTAATGTCCATTTATGAATATAGTACACCAATATATGAACTAATAAATTTGAGAAGATACAACAATATATCTTCACTTAATGTCTATTCATGAATTTAGTACTTTAAATACATTAATTGAGTAGTTTGATGAACTAATGAACATGAGAAGATACATCAGTGTGAAGATGTATTTTCACTTAATATCTATTTATGAATTTAGTACACCAAGTACATGAATTAAGTGGTTCCATAAATGAACTAATAAACTTGAGAAGATACATCAAAATACCAATGAACTTTATAGGAAATTCATGAATCAAACTCCTAGACATGATAAGAAAAATCATGTCACAAGTCTAGATCAATTTTCATACTACAAACTAATTTCCAATAGTATGTCTAGAATAGAGAAGGAAGGTGTTCGGTCTAAATCTACTGGAAAGGATATAAAATTCGAGCACCAAAATACGGAAATTTCCTCCCTTTTTTACTAAGAAGATTTGTGAATTAATAGTGACCTAAGACCAACCAAATACGGAAATCTTGAGAATACGGAAATCTACGGAATAACACTGGTCTCTAGTATATTCTCAAATACGGAAATCTACTGGTCTCTAGTGAGCTAAGACCAACCAGATCTTGAGAATTAATATTGTCAACATTACTATATGATTGGTTCAACTCGGGTACTATTTGGCAGTTTTGGATTTGAACACGAGAGCTGAAATCCAACAACTGCTCCAAATAATGGCAATTGTACAACTTGAAAAATGCAATATTCGGATTGTTTTGGAATAACACATTTGATAGCTTGGTGAGCTCTTTGACATTCCAAATTGACAGACTGGTAAAAGCGCTGACTCGACTGCAAATATTTGCTATTATGGTTGATCCATGATTGATGTCCTTGGCATGAAATTCCTTGAGAATCAGAAAATGACTTGGAGCAATGGCTAATTGCGTACAATTCTTAATCTCTAACTTCTCAAGAACAGGAAATACCATCATCTTTTTCATCATGAAATGCTGCTTCCATCCATTCCATTAGATTCAAAATGTTTGATAAAATGAGATGCTCAAGTGCTTGCAGACAAGAATAATGTCGTAACGTACCTGAAACTCTCATGCAAAGGAAATGGTATTTCTTCGTCACTTTTCTCCGTTGCAAGATACCGAGTAGAAAGGGTCTCGTCGTAATACGTTCTAGTTCCTTTCAACCTTAAGGGTTTATAATTGAAGATGGATAATGCCAAATCATACACAAGATCATGCACTTTGCAATTCAAGACATTCCTTTACTCATCCTTCACAGCATCTTGCAACAAGTTAGTATCCAACAAAATCGAAAAAAACATTTCTCCAACTTCCTCCATCTCCATGTTGTTTCTTGGATTTGAATGAAGAAATCTTTCTGCTGCCCAAAGTTAGAAGTAGCTGACTCCTATTTATTTCAATGTCTTTGGGAAAAATTGAACAATACGCAAAGCAGTTTTTCAGCGATGGAGATGGAAGATGATGAACACTCAACTTTTCATCTCCACCTAAATTTTGAAGGCCAGTCTCCAAAATTGAAAGCCTTTCATCACTTCCCTTGTTGCGCAATATGCTGCCGGGTACACTTGCAGCTAATGGTACACCTTGGTATTTTTTTGCAATCTCGCATCCTGTCTTGCATTCCATCCGGCACTTTCCCAGCACCATTTGAGAATGAGCCAGCATTCATCATCTGGCAATTTTTTCAAAGAACATGGAGAAGAAGAAATTCTTGTCATGACTGCCACTTGTTGCTGACGGGTGGTCATAAGAATGGAATTCCCCTTGGATGAGCTGATACCTTTCAAAGACCCAAGAAAATCATTTCATAGTGTGGCTTGCTCATTCCGCACATCATCAAGAACCATTAGATACTTTTTGCCATCCAATAATTCTTTTAGCAGCTTGACTCTGGCCTTTTTATCCTCAGCTTCGGGTTTTTGGACTTGCAATGATTCTATAATCGAACTAAAAAGCCTATTGACATCAAAATCTTTTGATACACATACCCATATTCTCTTGTCAAAATATGATTTTCAATCTTTAAATCATTAAAAGCTTTTCGAGCCAAGGTGGTCTTTCCAATCCCGCCCATGCCAACTATAGGAAGAACCAGGACTATTTCATTTTTAATCGCAGCAGTCAACCCTGTCACTATTATCGAGAGGTCATCATCTCTTCCAACAAAGCTTGAATCAATAGTAACAGAGTTAGTCTCTCTGTTCTTCATTAATCCTCCATTTTGTGACTGGAGGCCAAAGCCCTTTGCTTCTTCATTAATTCTTTTCAATTCCATAGTGACTGTTCGAATTCTATTTGCCGTTTTGAAACGAAATCTGATGGGATTGAAGAGTGAGAAGGAGAAGTATACCTTCCTCTTCACCTGTTTCTGAATCTCAACTTTGCGCAGAATCATTTCATAATTGAGATCATCCAACAAATTATCAGCATCAAAAGCCACGTCTTCAAGTTCCTTCAGCCAAAGCTTCGCGTACTCGAGGGTGACTTGCTTTTGCTCTGCATCATGAAAAACAGCTTGGATCTTGGCAAGTGTTTTCTTCAGCTTCGGCAAATCTTTCTTAAAGGCTAAAGAAAGGCTAATCTGCTGGGAAGCCAAGGTTATTGCTTTCCCCTCTAGAAACTGTATAGTGGCACCAAGAAATGCATCCGCCATTGGGTCTTCCTTTGCAAAGACGGAGAGTGTGTGAGAAAGATTTCTCTACGGTGGAAGAGATTTGTTGCTAGGTTGGTACTACTACTGATGAATGGCAATTGTTTTGAGCAATGGCGGTGGGGTCAATGCTTTTTCGATCCCACGTGCTTACACGTAATTGTGTTAATTCAAAATATGACATTTGTGAGATATTAAAATTCTTTGTAAAATTTTGATCATGAGCTTTAGAATAGAATAATTCTTTTTTTTTTTTCAATTCCTTTAATCAATTTTTGTAAAAACAATTCTAAATTTGGAACTCTTATACAGCCCATAATACTCATGGTGCATTTGATAAAACTAAAATCTAAAATCTAAAGTTTTTCATATAGTTTTTAAAAAATAATCTCAAAAATAACTAATTCAAACGGGGTTATATTTGAAAAACGAAATGCTATAGTGCTGTTTTTAAAAAACAACCCTACCCTTAGTATTTTAGTCAAATCTGCTTTTCCTTTTTTTAAGGGTTCAAGTTTGACGTTTCCAATTCAAACTTTAGCCGGAGTGAGTTTGTCGGGAGCAGGACGAAGAGAGAAATGGGTTAATCACATACTTCAAGTTTAACTAATTTGGCACTTTATCCCCTAACATACTTTTTCACTTTATCTCATAAAACCGTGAGTCAACTCCAACATTGTGTAATGAAAATGTCAAAAAGATATTTATACCCCAAAGGATTAATTCCAATAAATCCCTTTAAGGTACAGCATGTTTCACATTTTACCATCTAATATTATTTTTCTCTTAATTTGTTTGTTTGTTTCTAAAACCACTCAAGACAGATAATATTTAAAAAATCAGTATCCCTAACATAATAATAAAAATTATTGTATATTTATGAATATAGGTCTTATTAAATTTTATCTCCATATTTACAGGTTTTTAGATAGACGTAAAATATCTTGCTCATTTTACATATATAAGGGAAAAATAAAAATTATTAGTGAAATAATAAACAATAAAAATATTATTAAAGGTCTATAGATTGGGTTTGTTTGGACTGAAGATTAGGGAAAATGGTCACTTTAGTCCCTATACTTTCATACTTGTGTCGATTTTGTCCCTTTATTTTATTCTTGGTCAATTAGATACCTTAACTTCATATGCAAGTCCAATTGAGGCCCTTCGCGGCGGCACCACCAGAAAATGTCAAGCAGGAGTGAAATTGACCACATAGAGAGGGCTACTTTTGGAATATCACTTATGGGGATTTAATAAAGCCAACTAATTCATACGGTAACAAAACTAAAATAAAAGTGAGGAGCTTTCACTGTTCAAAGTTTCTCCCCACCTAATTCGCCATCGACCACCACCGCTTTTCAAAATGTAGACACGCGTAACTATGGTATCAAAATCCTTCCCATTAGGCCAAAAAATATCCTGCCCTCTCTGGGGTTTGAGCTATTCAAAGTTTCCCCCACTTACCACCACTCTTCCCAGCATCATAAAGAGATTCAAACCCAAGTAAAAGAAAAAAGAAACAAAAAATGGACAAGTTGGAGAAACTAAAAATGGCTTCATCCTCGTTCGGCGAGAGATTAAAAATTGGCGGAGCCCAAATGAGCCGAATCATAAGCTTAAAGATGAAGGAAATTCTCCAAGCCCCAACTCCCAAATCTAAGATAGTAGATGAGGCTGCCTTGGAGACAATGGAAGAACCTAACTTGGAGACGAGATTGCATGTTACTACTATGTTTTTTTGCATATTCTTTTGGGTGTTTTCTACCCCCGGGATGTGAAAATTTCTACCTTATGAATTAGTTGGCTTTATTAAAGCCCCATAAGTGATATTCTGAAAGTAGCCCAACAGTCAATTCACTCCTGGTTGACATTTCCTGGTGGCGCCACCACGAAGGGCCTCAATTAGACTTGCATCTTAAGTTAAGGTATCTAATTGGCCAAGAATAAAATAAAGAGACTAAATCGGCATAAGTCTGAAAGTATGGGGACTAAATTGGCCATTTTTCCCTGAAGATTATTTGAAAATTTTTTAAAAATAATATTGTAATACTTTTTGCAATTTGATATTTGTGAAATAAAAATATGATTAAAAAAAAAAGATGATTGAAAAACGTGCTTATGATGCAATAAAATTTTTTTTTAGAAATTCAAATAATTTTTAATAGCGTCTAATCATGCTATATTAAAAAACGATCCTAAAAATTTTGAAAGCCAAATCAACCATGCTTCTCCATTTTTTAAGTATTACTAACAAAAAAATGTATACACCCATATAAAGAAAATATCTAACTATTAAAATAAAAGCAAAACTATATGCATATTCATAAAGAGAAACAGATAATATGCAAGCATTTTTAAACTTTTCATTATAATTTCACATATTAATTTTTCAAATAACAAATTTTGTTATTTTTCTCATTATTACATGAAATTAGTAAGATGTTTCTCTCAATCTAAAAGAGGTGGGATGAAATTTACTAGGACCACATCTATAAGTATAGTGTGTTTGGATAGTGGTTTATGTGCCAAATTTTTTTTGATTGCATCACAAACATATTTTCTAACCATTTTTTAAAATCTTTTTAACCATCTTTTTATCTCACATACATCACATTAAAAACACTGCTACAATATTTTTTCAAAATATTATTCCAAATAATCTCCTATCCAAACACATAATTTTTTCATACTATGCTAGGGATATTGATTTTTTAGACATTATTTGTCCTCATGTTATAAAATATTGGAGTTGACTAAAGATTTTAGTGACAAATAAACAAGTTGAGAAAAAATAGTGACTAACATAAAATGTAAAATAAGATAGGAGAATTACTGCATTTAACTATTAAGGGTATAAATATCCTTTTGACATTACCATCACACAACATAGGAGTCAATTAACAGTTTAGGAGATGAAGTGAAAAAAAATAATGTTGTGGGCAAAGTCAAAAATAGATATACTTTAGGGGGAGTTTTTAAAATTGACCCTAATATGATAGTTGAGTTTAAATTACATAATTAATATAAACAAACTCATTTGCTCTTATTCCTTTTAAAATTGATGTTACATTTTACTCTTTATATAGTTTAATTATAATGATATTAAAAGTGTACAATAACTTTGATATAACATGATTGCATTGATATTTGTTTGTCACAATTAAAAAATATAAATTCTCTAAAGGCAAAAAAAAGTCAAATTATGACTTTAATGCATTCAACATAATTGGTTAACAATAAAAATATTGAAATATTATAGTATGCAATTGACAATCAAAATTAAGAAAAAATTTAATATCTAACAGTACTATATTTTAGGGTGATAAAATTGTGTGCAAAGCACGCGAAATATTGCTAGTAATGCAAGGTGGGACACAAGAGTTAATGAGAGTGCTTGGATAGAGTATTATTTGAAATATTATTTAGAATAAATACTGTAATATTTGCAGAGAGTGACACAAGGTATGGGACAGAAAATCCGTTGCGGTTTTGGCCTCACTCTGTAAAGTTAAAACCTCTCATGCTTTTGTGATATCCATGTTTTCTTATTAGGGTCTTAAGTAAAGAATTAGAAGTTTGAGGGTGAAATTGATAAGCTTAGGAAAGTTGTGGGGTTGAACTATAGTTAAATAAAATATTGAAAGATAATAGCGAAGTAGAATTTGACTATTGAGAAACTTTTCCAATTGTTTCGTATTCTCTCTCTCTCTCTCTCCCTCTCTCTTCCAATCAAGGTGTGATTTTGGGGTGATTTTAATCAACAAGATAAAGGAGGGTTTGCATGCTAAACTCAACAACTAATCAAGGAAAGATTTAGTTGCTTGGTTTTAGTTTTGGTTTACTTGGTTTGGAGAGATTGAGCTCATGACTTGGGTTGGATTAATTAGATTCTTGGCTCGATCTTATGCATCTTTTGACTATACAGTTGTAATTGATTTTGATTTAGTTAGATATTGTATTTTTCATGATCAAATGCTAAAATTATGATTATGAAGTGAATGATGACTAAATTATGAGGTTGATTTCATGTTAGGATAAGCTTTACTTTTGTATTTGTTCTCTCCTCATCCATCTTTAAAATCCGGCCGGGAACTTCTCAATTTCAATTGGTCCCGCTCATTACTTCATTACTTGATTAGTGTTCTGGTTCTTGAATTTTTTTCTAACTTCAAATATTTGCTTTCGTATTTTTTGTGAAGCTGATATGGTGTACATAGGTCAGCAGAAAATCAATAATTAAAAAAATGAAGCTAATATGGTGTAAATAGGTCAGTAGAAAACCAATAATTATAAAAATGCTATGATTAGACTGTCTTGTGGAATAGTCATGTTCATGTCCCACATAAACAGAAATTATTAAACATAATTACTGAAAAGCAATAATTAAAAAATGCTATGATTAGACTGTCCTATGGAATAGTCATGTTCATGTCCCACACAAACAGAAATTATTAAATATAAATCTTTATCAAGCCTTTTCATGAGAGTTCTAGAAAGGATTTATAGAATTCCAAAAAGAAAAAAATAGGAGTAGAAAGCATTTGTTGAATTAATAAGAAGTTACCAATGCTGCTAAGCTGGTTATATTTTTCCTAATAAACAATTCAAACACGCAATACTTGCAACCCTCATGCACAATTTTATGGGGTTAGGATTCAAGGGCGTACCGAACTCTACACCTGAGTTCTAAGCTTGCAAAGAAAGCGAAAGATTGTATGGTCAAAATGAGCCCCTCAGTCCATTCCTTCACTTAGCTTAGCCCAAAAAAGGAACTATTTTAAGATATGTAGAATACCAAATATACTATTAGTACTTAACAAGCTAAGAGGACAATGAAATGCTCCATTCCTCCCTACCTCCGAAGATGCATGGACTGCTCTATGGGTGTTACTCTCTTGCTTGGTAACTAATAAAGTGCCCCATACTACCATCATAGTATGCAGGCTGCCAAGGTGTTGTTCCGCTGGCTCTATTGCCTTCTTGATGCATGCTATTGTAAT